TTTTTTTTTTTTTTCTCCTTTCTTTAGTCCTTTCACGAGGTCTTTAAAACATGCCGCAAAAAGCAACCCGGCAAAATAGATGCTTTCTGGTGCCCCCTCTTCTCCTCTCTCTCGACATCTGAAAAGAGGGAGAGGAGGAGGATGAGTGAAGAAAAAAAAAAAAAAAAACCCTCAGGTGAATTATTGATGAGAGAGAGGAGACAAGAGAGGTCACGAAGAAATAAAACCGTTTGGTGTTGCCGTGATTGCCTCCACCAGCTCACTCTCCGCTTCTGGCCGGAGCCTCCAGGATGCTCCGAGTGGCGAGCGGAGAGGTGGGAGCCTATCCCAAAGCCGCTGAGATGCTGGCTCTGATATCACTGCCAGAGTGTGCAGATTGCAGACTGCTCTCCCCCCTCTCCCTCCTTCTCCCTCTCCTTCTTCCCAACAGTTATGGCATAACAAGCCTGCTCAGCTCTCACTGAGCTGGGCAGATGCAGGAACCTCACCTTGGATTTGCCCCCTGCGCTGACACATGCGCTTGTCCCAGCCAACTCTTTTAGCAGCTACAAAGCCAATGGGAAACCAAGAACCTGTTGTAACAGGGCTCTTGTTTTCCAAAGCGGGGAGGAATCTCAGGCTCTTTGAAAGAGAGCGTCCAAATCTGGAGGAGGGTGCACGCACACACACCTCTCCCTACGGCTGCGCGTGCATCTCCTGCGCGCGTTCCGGCACGGCACCCGGGTCCAGGGTGTGCTGCCATCCAGTCCCCATTGTGCAGCAAGGAGGGAAGCAGCCCTCCTAAAAGCCACTCGCTTAGACCCTTGAAAGGACTTTATGGAGTTCTGTTGAGGATCAGTGCTGCCTCATGGTGCTGCCAAACGGTTGCTCTTGGTAGTGTTTTGATCAGGCATCTCTCAAGCAGCCTAGTAGTAGCTTCTCTTTTTGATGGGTGCCAAAAAGGGTTGGAAAAGTGAGCACGTAGCAATGCTTAGTAAGCTCACATATCTCCAGATGCTTAAAAGCATGGCTAGTTTGGCTCTGCTTCTAGAGCAGAGCTTTCCTGCATCACCATGAGCTGTTGAAATAGAATCTCCCTGCAAACCTATCCCCTCTCCTGGGACTGGGGAAAGACACAGTGCTCCCAGAAGCAGAATAACCTGAACAGACTTTCCCCCACAACAGCGCACACTGTTCCTAAGAAATGGAGAGCTGTATTTTTTACAGATAATCTCAGTACAGTGAATTTCCCTGCACATAATGGCTTGGCAACAAATATGTCCCACATCAACTGTGAGTCACCAGCTCTTCTTGTCCATCTCTACCTGGCCTTCTCTCCCCCATCTTTCCAGCACAGCCAGGAAAGGTGCTGCTGTGTTCTGGAGCTGGAGCACATGCAGGGCTTGGTCGCTGCCTTCTGGAGGGGAAGAGGCTTGGGAAGCAGCTCACACAGTGTCTAACTTCATGCACTAACAAACACTGGCTGTAAATTTTGAGACTAACAGACCAAAGGAATTAAAGAAGCAACAGGAAAGTAAGAGCAGTAATAAAAAGCACTGAAGCTCGCTGTGTGCTGAATGCAAAAGCTTTCTGTGGGCAAATGTGAGCTGGGTTTGGTTTTCAGCTGCTCTGGAAAACAGAGCGGAGCACAAAGTTCTCATAATTCAGCAAAGTCTCCGTGAAGTTATAACATAGCTAAAAAGTCCTCTTAGCTCACCACAACAAATACAATAGTCTACGAAATTCAGAAACTTATTGGTCAGGCAAGTGACGATAAGAAATGTTACTATTTTCTAAGAGCGCATCGATATCCTCTTACCATAGCAATGCTAGTAAAGATGAATGAAAAAGTCACATTACGAAGAAGCACTTGGTGTAAGCAAAGGGAGAGAAGGAGAAATGAAACCCAGCATCGCAACACTGGTCCTTCCATAGGAACTGATCTGCAGATTTAAAAAATTGCAGCGATGTTGAGGAGCACCTGTCTAGAGGGCTCCTGAAAAACAAAGTGGTTATGACAGCAGGATAGTTCTGCACTATTTTGTAGGCAAATACAAATGTGTAAATAATTCCTCACTGTTTCAACATCTCTCCCACCTCTCCTACTGCACTGCCTCTGAACATATCCACGTGTGCGTGAATTTAGATTGAAATTTGAAATTGCTGCTTTCATGATTTATTAGAGACGCAGAATTTTATAATAATTTCATGCAATTCTAAAAATCTTTTTTGTTGCAATTGCATCAATTTTCTTTATAGTGCAAAAGCAAACAAACAAAAAAACACACACCCTGCACCTATGTGCTTTTCTCCTAGAGCTGTGCATTTTTGTACCTGCAGGTTACTTTATGTATGTAACTGAGTTACTAATTAAGTATGCAGCTAATTAGAGTAATTTGTGAATACAACTACTTAATTTCAGAGCTCAGTCATGATAAAGTTAAGTGCAGGTTAGTTACAAATTTGCACACACTTTTTGCGTGATTAGAACTGGAATGTGCTAAGTTCCAGTAAAGTATTCTTTATCCCTAACTGGCAATTAGTACTGAGATTTCAGATAACTTTAATTAACAATATGAATTCAAGAGTGAATAAGATTATTGAAACTTTAAAAAAAAATAAGCCATTTGCAGGATAGAGAGAAAGCAGCAGAATAAAAGGACAAGGACAATTCTACAGCAGCAATCACCTCAACAGCCCAGTCCTATAAGCAAGGAGGAAATTACAAGTCTAATAAGTTTCTTCTGTTCCAGGAAAAGCAAGGAAAAATAGATGCCATCAACCAAAGTGTATTTTGAGGTAGAAATTGCTGAAATAAAAATTGGCACAAACTGCATCAATGCATTCAGCAATGTTGCAGATAAATTCTGTAAACATTCAGACATGGTACCAAATCACAGTTCAGAAGACAAAGGTGACCATTAAAACCTCTCTGTGCCTATGGATGAAGCCCTTACCTGGAAAACAGCCTGTTATTGACAATTCCCAGGTTTTTAAGGGGTCTCTCAGAGCTGATCCTGCAAAAAGCTCCCTGAAGAAGTCAGGGCCTGAGGGCTCGCGAGGGCTGCGCTCCAGGCTCCTGCACTGCTCCCCAAATCCACACCTAAGCAACTGGGATGCAGAGCACTGCCACCAAAACAGCTGCACTATATCACAAAATAATTCCCCCCCTTTTTTTTTAATCCAGGAAATGGAAAGAAAGCTTAAAGGTTGCCGGCAATAGTATTTGTTTAGATGGCTAGTCTTCTTTTTCATTGCTGTATAAAATGAGGGAGGTTTGCTAGGGATGCTGTGGAAAGGACGAGTTGAAAAGTGAGATTTGTGTTTAATTTACAAGCAGCAAGGTTAAGAACTGCTCTTATTTTATTGGACAAAGAATTTCTTGGTATCGATCTGGCTCCCTTTAACAGGGATTTTTTTTTCCTTTGAAAGAAAAATGAGTAAAATAAATAGCAACAATGTCCAAGAACAGAAGTTCAGTGAGACTAAACTCACTGCTTCTTTACATTTCTGGATATATAACATGGAGGCCTAAAGGCATCCTCAGCCGATAACGTTTTGCCCTCCTCAAGAAAACAAGGTGTCCTAGACATTTCTTGGAGAAAGGGAAGAGCCAAGGGAAGAGTAAAGAGATAACACCACACTTATATTTATATTTTCTTTTATGTCTTAGCTTGCAAACTTGCATTAAAGATGGTTTCCCTGTCAATATTGCGTCATACTTTTCAAGTCCCTGGGAAAAAAGAAGCATGTTGCTTCATAGAATTACTCATTTGCCTTACAAGAGGGAGAAATAATATCCACCAGACTTCCTCTCCTGCTTTTTGAGCTGCTGCTTTGTGTTTAGAGGCCTCAAGAACCCTCCTAACCTCTTGGCAGCAGGAGCTCTCTTCCCTCTCCTTCCCTTTTTTCTGTATCCCAATGATATTTCCCTGCTGTCGAGCGGAGCTTCCCGGTAGCCGAACGTGCTACAGGGTTCGTGTGGAGCTGGCTTAGGGCCATCGGGATGCTCCTAGTTCTGCGGACCTTGCTCCTTGGCTTGGGGATGTCCAAGATGCTGCAGAGAGCAGGGGGACAGCGCAGGAAGCTCCAACAAGAGGCCAAATGCAGATGCTACTGCCCAAACCCCACGCTCTTCGGTGCATCTGGTCACACTTTTTACCATCTTAGGACCTTCTTTCAGGCTAAACCTTGTACTTCCCGACTGGGCTGTGCTTCTGTCTGCTTCTGTCCTTAATCAGATGCCCAGAAATACTTCAGACCTATATTGAGCCCAAAGTAGTCAGAATTTATATCCATGCAAAACTTAGAGCAAAATTTGACCCACTAGGTTCTTTTTACTCCTTACTTCTAAGTAGGTTCTAGGTAGTACTAAAGTGTTTACAGCATCAATAAGTCAGTGAATTTCATAATTAACTTTTGTTTGGGACTATCTGCAAGCAGGTTAACATTGCTTGTGTTAAGAGATTTTTAAAAATATTTTGAATAAATCTCTAATTTACACGCTTACCCCAATTGTAAGAACGTGACTTTGGTAGACAAAGACCATAAAACCCACTTACATACATTGACCGCCTTTATAAGAGGTACTTGTTCTTGTTATGAAGTAAAATCTAATTCTTGTCTCACTATAGCAGTTGAGTTCATACCTAGAAAAAAGCTCCTATTCTTTTAGTGTTGGTATCTGGTAGGTTTTTGTAGTTTCATGAAATAATTTCATGAAGTGCTACCCTGTATAACCTATGCAATGGTTTTATAGGACTTTCAGATGCATTTTAATGAAGCAAAAAATGTGACTTTTACTCAAATGGAATAAAATCAGATGGTAAGGTCAGAAAAACACAAAAATAGACTAGCAGGAAAACCCTTCCCTTTTAGCAAGAGAGTATGAAAGAAACTTGTTTTTTCCTTGCACTGGTTTTAGCAGCTGATTTCACTGAGCAACATTTTTACAATACACTTAGAATGGAGTTTCCAAGAGCTTCAGAAATCTGTTGGCAATCAGTTTAGCTTAAACTGTTGAATATACTTTGTGGATAGCATTCACTAATTTGATGTCAAGGAAATCACGTAAAAAATGGGCCCTGAAGTGGCATGATTTAGCACACCTCCTTTGACATCAATAGAGATACACAGATTGCCTCCTCTCAAGAGGATTTGTCCCAGATAAATTTCTCATTGAGCGTTTCTCATAGTCAGGCCCAGTGAAAAATTAAAAATAACATTGCTGTGGGAAAAAGTGATGTTAAAAGAAATGTCTAAGCTAGTGAATTAAGAGCCATTCCTTTGTTAGCATTGCTTGTTTTGTATTTAAAAGGGAGGAAAAATATTTGAAGTTTTGTGATGACATTCAGAAATGAAGCCATAGGGAATAGCTTTGCTATAGATTTTTTAGTGACATTTATAGAGATATGTCAACCTAAATAGAAGGAAAAAACCTCTGCTTTTCATATAGACTTCATCTTTTAGTTACCAGCTTTTGTTGCATCCGTTCACTGTTCTGATTAGTCTCTACTCTTCATTTAGCATGAATCATACCAGGTTGTCCTCCTCCATTTACACACTCTTAAGAAACCCCAGTTCTAGTACGTCCTAGTATCTGTACATCCAAGTCAGGTGCTTTCTCACTTCTTGTTCTGGAATAAATGCCTCAGTTTTGCTCTGCTTTTTGTTTGTCTAAGTACAAGAGACAGCCATAAATAAACAGTCATTCCCCAGTATGTTAATACTAGGCTCCTCTGACTGTCCCTGCTAAAATATAAGATGTGGATCAG